GTGGGTCCTCTGGCCAGTCATCCCCGTCCTAAGGTCTTGCTGCTTCCACAAAGAGCTTTAATGGAAGAAAAAAAGGAAGAAAGGAGCAAACATCCCGACCTGGCAGCTGGTGGAAGATGCCAAGTCCCATCTCTGCCTTCACCACCCGCCCAAGGCAGGACCTGTCACCGGTCGCTGGGGCGCTGCGGCAACTTCATTTCAGTTTTACTCCGATAGCACTGATCACAGCGCATCAGCCCTTGTTTTTATTACTTTTGCTCCCCTCTCCGTGCGCTGTTGAGGCTTGCGGTGTTCTGGCAGACAAGCCTTGACTGTAATAATTTCTGGCCTTTCGTCGGAAGTTGTAACTCCAACGCAGTGAAATATAAACTGGCAGAAAATGGAGTGTTTCCTTCTGCCATTGCGAGCTGCAGCAGGCAGGCTCAGATGGAGGTTTTCTGTTGGCTTTCCCTCCCCTGCATTTGTGTTTTCCCCTCTCCGCCGAAGGGCACGGTCGCCCTCCTCCAGCCACCGAGAGGGAAACGTGCTGGGCTGATGAAATGGCACATGAAGTTTGTGCTCGGCAAAGTCACAACTCCAGGAGCTTCGGAAGGAGGCAGCAGTGGGAAACATAAATGTTGTTTGTCTTGTGGTCACAAGGGTGTGTCTTAAGTGCTGGGGTGTGCTTTTGACAGGCTGGGTGAGCCCGTCTGCGGAGATCCCTGGGAGAGGTGAGGAGAAGCAGGGTTGTCTGCAGGCAGCAGGGACATCTGGAGTTGGGTGGAGGATCAGCCTGGGTTGGGATTTGAAAGCACAGAGAGTAGACTGTAGACAACACCCTGGGAAAGAGGGTATTGTCTCCAGGATCTGTATCAAGAGGGTCTGGTGGCCCATGTCCAGAGCTGTTCAGAGGTCATCTCATGATCTGGGATGGATGACCCATGTCTCAAGAAGTTCAGGATCTTCTGTCCAAGGACAAAGCCCACCTTGCAAGGGACAGAGCTTTCTCAGGAGCTGCTCAGAGACGACGGCATGGACATGTGTGGGCAGTAGGGATTCCTGCCGGTCTCCCTGACCTCTTCATCCCTGCTCAATGCATCTTGGCCAGCGTGAACACCAGCAGCGTGCTAGTTAACCCCAGCACCCAGGCGGTTTCTTGCATGGATCAATCATGATGAGCCTGTACCCAGCCTTGTTTTCTACTCTTCAGGAACAGAATGAGAGATGGATGTGATGGACGTGGGCCACATGGCTGGGAGGGACAAGAACCTCGGACGTGTGGTGAGGGCCATATCAGGAGGGGATGCGTTGTGGCCCTGCAGTTGGGGTGGGTCCTCCCAGGGCGAACCGGGGCTGCATTTAGCACATGCAGGGGCCCTCTTGGGAAGCCGCTTGAACCTGGGCAGGGCACTTCTGTCGAGTCCCCATAGCCTTGTGCCTGTTCCTCACCCAGGTTTGAGGCTGGTTAATCTCATCCGTTGAGTGCTCCCAAATCTTTGCCATCACTGTAGCATCAGGGGGTGTCGTTGTAGGCTGTATTCAGTCTCTATCCCAGCCTCAGAGTTTCATTTCAGTGAATTTCTTGCTAGTGCCACCATCCTCTTATCCATTAGCAGATTAGCACAGGTTGAATTTCCCATGTGAGTGCTCCACAGTCTGTCTCATTGTATTTATTTTGTTCAGGCTGCTTTTCCCTGGGCTTGACAGTGTAATTTGTACAGATCTGTGCTGAGTTTTCCAAACTCTCAAATGAGCTTTTTTGTTAGCGTGAAGCCTGGACTATTGATAGTAGAGACATTAAACAACAGAAACATTGAGAAGTGAGCAGCACGCCTACCATCCAGGAAGGCTTCCTAACCTCTGGAGGTGCTCCTTGGCAAAAACTCCATGGTTCAGAGATTTTAATTAGATCTAATCCTCCAGGTGACCAACCAAGCATTAAAAGGCATACCAATTTTTCAGTTGCGTCCCTTGCTGTAGGAGTTTTTATTATTTATTTTAGATAAATGTGACAAAATAACTTGGATATCCCAAACTTAACGTTTTCCTTGAGTGGCGCTAAGAGGTCTCCAGCATAGGAGAGTCTCCTTTCAGTGCAGTTATACTCAGAAAAGTGCCCGCCTGCAAACTCGTTCTGCACTTACTCTGGTCTCCCTTTCCCGGAGTAACTTGCATGTGAAATTTGGTTGAGTTTTTGGATCAGAAGTTGTATTTTCTGAGCGTCAGAGTTGCCAGCTCCTCCTTGGGGTCTGGAAATGCAGCTGTGGTTTCTTTGCCTCTTGTTCGCACCGGTCACAGAGCCCCAGCATTGACAGCATGGCTGATGATGTGCCAGGCAGAGCCAAATCTCCACGCCGTGCCTTCCCCTAGAAAAGCCTGAAGCAGAAACAAGCACAACCCAACCTTACGCAAAGGCAGAGACCAAAAAGAAAAAAACAGAGCTGGAAAAACAGAGCTGGAAAAAACCCTCTTCTTCCCCCTCCTGCCTGGTTTGCAGCAGAGCCTGGCACGGCAGGAGGGCTGTCTGTGCGTCTCCTGTAGCGGCTGGGTGGGTTTTGGAGATGCACAGGGCTCTGATCACGGCCCCGGCGGCTGCGCTCGTGTTGCCCAGCCTCTGCAGGAGAAGGTTTCGTGCTGTTGTGGTGAGCACAGCAGTGTTCAGCCGTCCCAGCTCAAGCACCGTCTGTGCCCAACTCTCTGCTGAAGGCACCTTCAGCGACTTTGGTACGTGTATTCCTTCTCACTGCTGCATTTCCTTGCTGCTCTCTGGGTGTCACGTCTCTGCACTCCCAAAGGAGTCTAATCACAAGCCTGGCTTATAAATCCACCTGGACCAAAACGATGCAGGATTCATTCACTTCTGTAGGACAGATATTACTTATCTCTGTCTCTTTTGAGGTGAGGGTCACACTTGGCACGTTTCCGCCTGCTGGGATATGTTAGACCGGTCTTCAGCCAACCCCTGGGTGCTCTGGGAGCTGTTTGTCCTCCATCCCACCGTTGTACTCTTCTCTCCATCTTTGCCCTGGGAGAAGTTGCTGAGGCTGGACAGGGCGCCATGATGCTGCAGGGCTGCAGCCCCGTCCCTGGGCCTTGCCTGTGCTGGAGGGGCCGTGGCTCTCCGCGTGACTGCAGGTATGGCTGGAGATGAGAGCAGCGGTTGTCATCTGGGGGGAAATTGCCTTGCGTCCAGGGGTTGCCTGGGGGCAGCTGAAGGTTTTGGGGCTGATGCTGTTGGCCTGTGGTGGCTCCTGACTCTCCAAAATCAGAGCCCAGGCCAGGCCATCAGAGGTGCCATCGCTGCTCTGCAGGAAGAGGGGGTTGGCCACACGGGTCGTTTCCCACCATGTTGAGGCGGGAAATAACATCCTGTTGCTGCAGGAGACTCTGCTGAGCCTGTTGGCATGGTGAGGATGGGGGATAACATGCATCAGGTCCCACCTGGACCCAGGCACTACCAGAAGCTGGTTTGCTCCCAGGGCTGCTGGGGCTGCTGCAGTGCCGGCACACGGGGGTCTGCGGGTGCACATGTGGACCACGCTGCGAAAATCTCTTCTGCAGGAGGATCCTGAAGCCCCTGGATTCGTTCTTTCTCCTTCCTGCCCTGTCCAGGCAGGTCACAGATGTCCCCCTCCTTTGAAGGGTGCCTGCGCCGTGGCTCTGCCTGGGTGCCTGCCGCAGCAAGCGGGTGAGGAAGGAGAAATCAAAGGTGGCTTTCAACAACCCCCCTTTTCCTGCCTTGAGGTCAGCCTGGTAATGGCAGTCAGGAACCCGCACACCAGATCTGCCTCCTCTGAGCCATGGATGACTCCTAATGGCGTGAGAAGCAAAGCCTGGATGGAGCAGGGAGGGTTGGAGAGATTGCCCAGCACCTTGGTTGACACAGATGAGCTTAGTGTTTTGCTGTATTTCTGGGAGCGATGGGTTTAATTCAAAGCTGCTCCCTGCCCAAGTCCCTTTGTCTTCTGTTTTTGTTTGTTTATGACCCTATCTGCCTCCGTCTCTCTTATTTCTTGGACAATGCTTGGCACTGGCTGCTCCAGCAGCTTTCTGGTAGTGGTAAGAGCTGTGGGTGTTTTGCTGTAGCAGGGATGCGTGACCTTTGTCTGGCCACAGTGCGATTGCTGCTTCAAAGTCGAGCAAAGGCTGAAGTGCTGGAGCTCTTCCTCGGAGCGCGAGAGACCTGGGATCAGGGATGTAGACAGCCGGTACGTTGTGCTCAGGCTGTGAAAGCCCTGCCAAAGAGGGAGCTAGTAGCATCTAACCTCTCCGCCACCTTCAAAGACGTATTAGAAGTGGGTTTGCAAAGCATCTGTGTGGCCGAGGTGCCCCTGCCTGGGGCAGCACGGATGGTGGGCAAGGCTTGTCTTCGTCTGCCTGCACCCCGGGGCAGCTGTTCACATCCAGACCTGAAATTTTAGCCTGGTCCTTGCAGACAGAAGGATGGATTTAGCCATTTGTAGTCCTTGGAGAAAAGCGCTCGATGCGAGAGGTGTGTGGGTGGTGAGACCAGGAGTAATTTGTGATTCAGAGGTGACGGGGACAAGCAGGACCTTCCTTCAGGTGAGCTGGAGGGCTGGTGCTGCAGCACAGGAGCATTTAAATAAATCAGCATGTTAACAGCAAACAAGGAGCGTGAGAGGGGGAAAGCGAGAGCTGAAATAAAAGGCCGTTAAGGAATAGATGCGATGCAAAGCGAGAGGATCAATAGCTGAGAGGGAAACGCAGGGCAGGGCTCCTTGCCAGGGGAAGACAGGTAGGATGTGGGCACGTGGTGGGGTGATGCCCTTCCTCAGCCCTGTTGCTATCACTTCAGGTTGCATCGGTCGTGTGCTGTGTTTGGGGTGGCCTGCAGGGCTTTGCACCTTCTCCATAACTGTGAGCCATGGTTGGTGGGAGCTGGGGGGATTGACCCTCGTTCGTGTCCGCTGCGGGGTGCTGCCCCAGACAGACCCAGCGTCTGTCCCACCCTGCCGTGCCCCGCTCTGTTGGTGACCTGCCTTTTGCTTTTGTCCCTGCAGCAACCCCAAAGTCCAGATAGAAGCAATTGAGGGGGGCGCGCTGCAGAAGCTCCTGGTTATTCTGGCTACAGAACAACCCCTGGCTGTCAAGAAGAAGGTGAGCGGGCAGGGATGCACCTCTGGGTAAAGCCGTTTTTGTGCTGAACTGAACGTAAGGCCTCCTCCGGGCATCGCTGATATCGTGAGAGTGTGGGACCCTGCGCTGCTCCCCATGCTGGGTGGGCTCCAGTGCACCCCAGGGTGCTGGACCCCCCCCCGGCAGCCCTGGCCCCCCCCGCCGCGGGCACCGCCCCCCCCCCCCCAGCAGCATGCACAGCAGCTCTGCCAGCCCCACGGGGGACAGGGCTCGGTGCTGCGGCTCCCCTGGGAGAAAAGGTGGGGGTCCCCGTGGCAGGCGTAACGATCAGAGGCTAACAAACATGGGAGCTGACGTTTGGAAGGAGCTAATTGCTGGAGCCAGCCCCGTGTCCTGCCTTTGGCGGTGGCTTTGGAGCAAGCCGAGTGGCGCTGAGAGCCCCCAGCCAAATGTGCAGTGCTGTCCATCGGGGTGGGGGCTTCCTCGCCGCCTCCCTCCCTCCCTCCTCACCATACTCCCTGGAGCATGAGATCTCATTACCCTCGCTTTAGAGTGTGATGCCACCTCTGTTTACAGGCCATAAAATTATCTGGCTGCTCCCGAAAACCCAGCCCCACCGTTTAACACGGTGACCTCCTGCGAGAGGGGGTTCGGTGGGGCGAGGGAACCACCAGCTCTTTCATTCATCTTTAATGCACCTGCTGTTATTCCAGCAGCGGTGTGCTGCGAGTGTTTTAACAAGCTCCCGCAAACATGTTCCCCTTTAGTCCATGGTAAGAGTTCTCCAGCAAGTGAAAGGCACGGGAGAGGCTGGGGAACCTCTTTGCTTTCGGCCACGGGTGTGAGGAGGTCCCGGCCAGAGAAGTGCACCACAGGACGCTCCATGCTCAGAAACTCCTCCCAGGAGCACCCGTGGCTCAATCCGGAGCTCGTTTTGGGGTGGGGAGGGATGGCTGGGCATCCAGAGGCTCCCACCAACATCGCTTGAAGCCCTGGGTGGTGGGTGCAGGACAATTCTTTCCAGTGAGCCTGAACGCGTTCTGCTGGCAGCCTTCTCTGGAGAAGAGCGAGAGCGATGAGCTCAGTATTGTCCACATTCACACGTGGCCTTACGAGAGCCTCCGAGGGCTGAACCCCCTTTTCCAGGAGGACAGAGGCTTTTAATTTCCAGTTCCCATGCTGCGTACGGTCTCCTGTCTCTCTCCAGGCCAGGATCCCAAGGACAGGTCGGTGCCCCAGGCCCTTCCTGCAAGGGGCAGCAGCCCATGGCTCCCGCTCCGGTGGGTTTTCCGCCCCGGCGCTCGCAGCGGTGTGCAGCAGCGAGGCCAAAAGTGCATTTCTTCCCTCCCCTGTCCTTGGGCCTATGGTTAAAAAAGGAGATGGAAGCATCCTCCAATTCACCAGCGGCAACTCGGAAGATGGAAAATAGAAACAAATGGGACTGGGGAAGAGATGGCTGTCAGCTCGGATCTGTCTGCGGAGAGCGGGGATGCACGGTCCACCTCGGTGTGCGGAGGAGCCGGCTCTGCTCGCTGGCAGGCACCCAGATGAGCATCCCCGTCCCCGCTCGGGCAGGAGCCCTGCCCCGGGCGGCGCCAGCCCGTCCCCTCTGCAACCTGCAGTTGTAAAAACTAGACGAGTGTAAGATTCAGCCGGTTGGCCCCTAATTGCCTTCTCGGTGTTAACCCCGTGCCACTCAAGGCCCAGGAGGCAAGTGCGGGCATGCTGGTGCTTGCACCGTGACAGACCCTGTTTTGGGGCTGTGTCCTAGGAAACATCATGGTCTTGTACTCCGGCCATGTGGGTGCAAGGAAGAGGACGTTCCCCAGGTGTCCAAATCACCTCGAGGGGATCAGGCTCTGCTGAGCGGTGCTGGACCCCATTTCACCCCGTCCTTAGCCCGTAGCTGGGCTCCGTACCGAGGACCGGTGGGGGTGAACTGCGAGGAGAAGCGATGGTGTTGGGTCTGTTCAGGTGCTGGCCACAGGTCACTCTGGGTTATCGTTCTAGCAAACGCGGTGACAGTCCGGGTTGGAGTTTGGGTGGAAGTCACCCAAGTTCAGGCAGCCTCGCAGCGCTGGGGAGGATTGGGGTCAGGAGAAAAGGGGACTCTCGGAGATGCCCCTCAGCAAGGAGAGGTTTGAATGCGTCTGCCGGGGAGCTCCGCGCAAATGGGTTGGAGCATGTTTCTCCTGTCCCCATGAAGAGAGGCTGCACCAAATGCGGTGGCTGTGGGCACCGTGCTGATGGACCTCTCTCCCCGCCAGGCTCTCTTCGCGCTGTCCTCCATGCTGAGACACTTCCCCTACGCCCAGCAGCAGTTCCTCAAGCTGGGCGGCCTCCAGGTCCTCAGGAGCCTCTTCAGGCAGAAGGGGATGGAGACCCTCCACGTCCGTGTGGTGACGCTCCTCTACGACCTCATCGTGGAGAAGGTGAGGAGCCGGGAGGGAGGGGATGGGACCCGGCCAGGCACTCCCCACCTTCATCCCCTCACCGAGCCAAAGGGGCCCTCGAGCATTCTCGCAGAATGAGGGTGAGGAGGGGCCGATCCAGTATCGGTGCTGGTCCGTGCTGTTGGGATGTGGCCCGTGGGCTGGAGGGGACTCTACTGGGGGGGCTGAGTGCCTGGGAGAGCCCAGAGCAAGCTTAAATCTTTATTTTTCATTAAACTGCCATCGCCGTTTCCACCCGAGGGTGTTTAAATAACAAAATGGCAAGGACCTGAGTAGGGAAAATAGGCACCGGACTTGCAGTGAGCTCGGCTGCGGCGTCCAGCCGCCGGCTGCCAGCCAAGTGCCCGGGGACCAGCCGCTGTTGCTGTGCCCGTGCCTGCCTGCGTGTCCCTCGCTGGAGCCGAGCCCGCAACGTTAAGCGTTTTATTTTCAAATACCTTGGATTACTGCTGTAAATGTCAGTTTAAAACCCGTCTTTCCTTGCCATCGCTTGTTGTTCAGTCTGTGCGTTTCTCTCACTCCGGAGAATGGAAATGAAATCCACTTTCACTCAGTTTATAGCCAATTTGCCCTGCCGATTACTACCGCTGTAATACTTGGGTTTCAGGCACTGCAGAGCAACGTCTGCGTTTTAAAACAGTTGTTTTCCAGGAGACTTTGTAAAGGTGCAAATTATTTTAGCGGGTCTGAAATCTTATCAGGTGCTGGCTCTAACGCGCAGCGATCCTGTCTGTCTGCTCGCATGGAGAGGGAGCGTACGTGGGCATTGTACCAGAACCGTTCACTCCTGCTGCACGTTGTACGGCCGCCCCTCCGGCAGCCCCATCTGTTCCCAGCTCTGCTGTGGCTGGGGGCAGTCCGCAGCCCCGGCAAATTCTCAGGTTTGTGCTGGCTCTAACGCGCAGCGATCCTGTCTGTCTGCTCGCATGGAGAGGGAGCGTACGTGGGCATTGTACCAGAACCGTTCACTCCTGCTGCACGTTTTACGCCCGCCCCTCCGGCAGCCCCATCTGTTCCCAGCTCTGCTGTGGCTGGGGGCAGTCCGCAGCCCCGGCAAATTCTCAGGTTTATGTTAAAACAATGATTTTTTTTTTTTTTTTGCTGTCCTTCGGGCTGGGAACACCACGTATCGATCCCAGCCCCTTCGCTTTCCGAGTCTGCGGAGAAGATGGGAGAGCCCTCGGTGCCCGCCGGGGAGCAGGGCTGGTCCGAGCGGGGTGGCAGATTTGGGGTGGGCTGGGTGACAGTCAAATAGGTTGGTATGACAATCGTAAACTACCATCGGCAGCTCTCTGCGCTGAAGCACAAATTGCCGGGGCTCTGAACAGCTTTTTCTGCCGCCTTCTTTCCTTTTTACCCCAAATCCTGCATGGCCAGCGGGGGTTTAGCAGGCAGCCCTCTCGGGGGACCGGGAGAGGGGAGGTCTCCTCGGCGCTGTCCTTCCTTGTCCCCACTGTGTCCCATCCTGCTCCCCACAGCAGCCGCCCAGGGGACAGCAGGAGTCCATTGCCAAGCTGGTGAACAGGTCAGAGAAAATGTTCGGGGCACCCTCGGGGACCCAGGCGGCCCCCGGGGACGGGGTTGTCCGATCGCTTCTCGCAGCAGCTCCTGGGCACGCTGGCTGCCCTCTCCCTTCCCCAGGGCTGGATTTCTGCTCACCAGCCCCGCAGAAGCCCTCATCTCCCTTCAGCAGTCTGAGGCGAGCAGCCCTGCGTTAGGCAGAACTAATTAGCGAAGCGCAGACGTGGTAATTATCACAGGGGGCCACCAGCCAAGCGGGGGGGTCCACTGGGGGAACGGAGCCTGTTTGGGGAATTTCACGCTATCGACAGCCGTTCCAGCACCCAAGCCCCAAAGGGTGTCGGGGGGTGGTGGGAGGTTTCCCTTCCTCCCCCTGGCCCCGGCGCTGCTCGGGACAGGTCTCTCTCGCTGGGAAGGGAGCCGGCAGCCCTGCCTGCCCCCGTCCCTGCGGGCACCTTTCTGGTCTCGGCACCGTCCCTGCAGAATTTCAGTATTCAGGTTTTTCTGGACCAGGCTGGGAGGAAGAGGAGCCAGATTTTTCTGGCTGTGGCTGGAGTAGACCGAGATCTCCATCTCTTCCATAAGAGCCGCACGAAGCCAAGCGGTGATGTTTGTTAGGTGCTGAAGGAGCCTGTCCAGCAGCCCAAAGCAGCAGACCCAGAGACTTCACAGGTCTTCGGCTGAACTTCTTCCCCCCCCCGCGTCCCCTTTCAGGGCTGTGTGATACTGAAACCCCCGGTCACCGAGTGTTTTCCAGGGTGGGCAACCAGCCCCTGTGGCCAGCTTCATGCACGGGCAACAGGGAACCGGGACACAACCTTGTCTTGGTTTTCTGTTGCAAGTCACTCTCCAAGGCAGGTGTTACGGGGCGTGCATTGTCCTCTCCCATGATGTGTCACCTCCTGGGAGCAGTTGCTCTCCGATAGGGATATTAATCCATGTTCCACCACTTCCCACAGATGCTGCTTGAGGACTCGCAGCACGGAGATCAAATGGAAGAGAAAATCCAGCAGTACCGGCAAGTCAAGCTGGTCCCGGCGGTGGTGGAGCAGGACTGGTGCGTGGTCGTTTCCAACCTGCTGGCCATGCCAGAACACGACACTCGGGAGAAGGTCCTCAAGACAGTCGGCGTGCTGATGGCCTTCTGCAAGGAGCGCTACCGGGGGGACCAGGCCCTCAGCACCACCCTCAGCCTCCTACGCAGCGAGTACGAGGAGCTGGCGGCAGAGGAGCAGAGGGAAGGTGACAAAGATGGCTATTTCAAGGAACTCCTTGGGTCTGTAAATACCATCATCCAGGAATTAAGATGAAAACAGCCGTAGATTCAGTTCAATTCCAGATAATTCAGGGCAACAGCGTGAGTTTTGATGGCACCACTGTAAATGCACTTTTGAATAAACTGCTGGACTAAATGAGATCCAAGCGCTGGGCGAGTGTGCCAACAGCTTCATTGTTAAAACGTTTGGGGGCATGTCGTCTTTTGCATGGGGTACTGCTGGAAAAATAGAGGTATATACCTTAGAGGGAACGAGGTAGAGTCTCGGCTTACGTTGCCTCCAACCATGGTACCTTATGAGTGTTCTCAGTCGGTCTGCAGGATTATTTGGGGTGGGAAGGACTGAGGGATGTGGGACTGTCCTTGTTAGGCAGCTCCGCTGTGCAAAGGGAAGCGTTTGTTCCCGCAGCTCTGATCTGCCGTTGTTCTTGCCTGGTGATGACCCGCGGTGTCTGCGATCTTTTATTTGCTTCTGTATAACGCGGCTCGGCACTCAGACAGCACCGTTTGCCTTTGGATTGTTTTGTGCTTGTAGGGGAGGACTGAGTGTCGTTTCCTTGAAACGTTGGTTGGGGAGGCTCTCTGGAGGTCTCTAATCCAGCCTTCGCTCGGAGCAGAACCATCCCTCGGTCAAGTCAGTGTGGCCGTGACCCAGCTCCACCAACCCCTCTGTGTAGGTCATGTAGCTCCACCATGGGAGCTCTCCTGCAGCCCCCCTCTGCTTGGAGGCCAGCCACGTCCCAGTGGTCTGGGGGTCAAAACATCTATCGAAGCCCTGGTGTGGTACGGCCACGGACCCGCTCCTTCCGTCACGGGGGCTGACCAGCTGGTGAAGCACGCTTTGGCCTGCAACAAACCATTGAGTTTTTCCGCTTGCATTGTTCTTGGCTTTGGAAATGGCTTCCAGGAAGATCTCTAGGGGTTGAGGCTGGCCAGCCAAGGGTTTTTCATCCATGAAGTACAGCACGCTCTCCTTTCTGTGCTGGGCTGGGCATCTCCCTTCACCCACCTCTTCCAGCTGCACCTTCTCCTCCCTTTCCTATAGGCTCAGGTCCCCTTCCCCCATGAACCTCCTTTGAGGTCCTCCTCACGCTGGATGGTCCACTGGGGAAGACGTTCTGCCCTCTCCTCATGGGGCCGAGTCTGTCTCCCCACGTTGTCCTTCCTCTGGCGAGGAAGAAACCAAAGTCTTGCCTAAACCTCTGGCTGCCCAGCCCCTGGCCTGGGGATGACTGCTACCTCCCCCGCCATCAGCAAAGAAGATTATAAAAACTGAATTTATTCATTATTTTGTCTGTTTAATTTCAGTCCAAACCCCCCCTCCTTGTCCTGAACCCTTTTTGGGGAGGTTTTGGGTTTGGTTTTTTTTTTTGATAGAGATCAATTCCATTTCTCGCAAGTCCCCCTGTGAGAAATATGCAGGGTGGGAGGCTGCAGTGAGCCCAGCGAGCTCCACGGTGCTGCCTGGGGACGGGCATGCGGCCCCCCGGCCACCCTGCCTGGGGCTGTCCCCTGTGCAAGGACAGGCTGACC